TATCGTAGGAGGATTTGCCAGGCTTGTCTAGAACCACGCCATTTGCCATTTTGAGTGACGCCGGGTGGAAACCAAACAAGACCAGCGGAGAGAGGAGCTCCACCAACAGAGAGGGATGGGATACATTAATCCTTTTCCAAACAGAGTACAGGAAGAGGTCGGGACCAGGGGCCGAGGTGGACGAGGACTTGCTGAGTACCGCGGCAATGTCTTCCACCAGCAAGGGGGGTGCGTCTGTGAATGCTCTTAGAATAGGCGGGCAGAAAGGAGGGGGCTTGGGAGGGAAGAAATGGGAGAGGAGGGCTTCCTTTAGCTCCATTGGTGAGGTTGCCTCTGGGAGGAACGGGAAACATTCTGGTGGTTTGCCGAAGGTGAACCTCTTGGCCGTCCACACATTTTGGGAGGTTGCGCTCTCAAGGAGCCATGTCCAGTGTTCCTTTTTAGCCTTCTTGATAGCCTTGAAATAGGCATTCTTGGCCAAGCGAGCAGATGCTCGGGTGTCATTCGATGGGGATTTACGTGCCACATGGGCACGAGAGTGGTGAACTTTCCTCAAGTCAGACAAAGTGTCTGACCACCAAGGTTTCGATCTTGTGGAGGGTCTTTTCATAGTCGTATGTCTGGCCAGGACTAGACGTATCCTGCCAAGGTTGATATCAAACCACATGTTAAGTGCTTGCTGTGTCAGGAGGGGGGGAGGTGGTGGAATCGTGAGGGAGCCGAGGTCCTCCAGGACCTTGGTCCAGTCTGTAGCTTTCCAGTATGGCATAAGTTTGGGGGGGGAGAGAAGTGGAGACGTCAAGGTTACTAATATTGGGACGTGATCCAACCCAGTGGACTGGAGGGAGGCATCCCATGTTTCCACATAGGGTGCGAGGTGTTGGTTGGCGAAGGCTAAGTTGATCACAGAGGGTGCATGGTCTTGGCCCAGTGAGAAACGGGTGAATACTCCAGGGGTATTCAGGAGGGAGAAGCAGCATTGCTGGGACAGATCCGCATAGGAAGTGGAGGTTCGGATTTCCAGTTTTCCTTAAGGGACAGTCGGGATCCCACTGGGGATAGTGGATATTGAAGTTGCCCACCACAAGGGTGGGGAAGTCGAGAACAGGGAAAGCTTCCTCTGGTGAAACAGAGCGGTAGAGTGATGATGACGTCCAAAGAGAATAAAGATTAACCAGACGAAACCTCTCATGGGAGGAGTCAAACAAGCTAGATGGTATGTAGACATCCACTGCCATCAGGGCAGGGTTGTCGAAAAACATAGAAACCAATGAAACAACATCAAAAAAGGAACTTAGTGCAAAAACTGCCACCCGTGGCTTCTCCCCTAGAGCCATTGGGGGAGAAAAGGACTTGAAGCCAGCAAACTGTAGTAGCTTTCCACGAAAGAAGGGGGGATCTTGAAGAGCAACAAGCACAGGAGGGGAGGACAAAGCAATTAAAGAATTAAAGAGAGAAAGAAACATATTCCAGCTACCCATGCAGTTGTGTTGAACGAGGGAGAAAGAGCTAATGCTCCGCTGAGGAGTAGTAGAAACCGGGGAAGGAGGGGGAGTAGAGTGGTCATCACGCATTAACGGGATGAACCCGCCGGTGGTTTGGGGACTGGGGTGGGAGTGACGTCCTCCTGGGTACAGGAGGGGTCAGTTCCTTGGGGGCGCAATGGAGTGCTGGGAATGGGGAAGACACTTCCAGGTCTTCTGAAGGGGGTTGAGAAAGGGAGGCTAGGGGGGGCTCTGGTTGCAAGACCATCTCCCAAGTCCACGGAAGGAGTAAGGCTTTGGGGCCGAAGAGGTCTGGAGGAAGGACCCTCTCCTCCGTCGTCCTGCGTATCCATTTCTTCCTCCCCGGGGGGAGGGGACTCAGCGGGTGGTGAGAGAGGGGACTTCAGATATTGGGCGCATGACTGATCAAAGGCGGAGTGGACTGAACAGCAGTTGGTACAGAAGGGGACGGAAGTGGGGCAGCAGTATGCCACTGGTCTGAGGTTACCACCTTTGGGGCTTGTCGGGTTCTGACAGCGGTGGGATGCCTTTGTGTGGCTGAGGGCATATATCGGGCAGACCAGGTGGTCGGTCTTGCACCTGGGTGCCTGGTAGCCGTAGTCCCAGCAGTTCTTGCATTGAGTGAATTTGTTCGCTGAGAAGGCCAGTTCAATCCGGCAACGGGAGGCGTATAGGTTAGTCCTGCCCACCATCTTGTCCACATCTGTGGGCGCGACCGTGATGATGCATGAAGTGTTTGCTTTGGAGAGTCTAATCTCCTCGTCCTGGACGAGGAATCGTGCTGAGAGGATCTGTACTTCCTTGACATTTAGGATAGTTTCCCTTAGGGTGCCCAGCAGGGCCTCCTGATCGTCAGAGAGGAAGGAGACAGGCAGGGAGTGGACTGCCAGTTGCACCTCATTGGGCGCAGGGCGGAAGCAGAGGTAGGGGTTTTCGCCCACAGGGTAGGCTTTACTGAGACGGGAGGAGAGGGCCTCGTAGTAGGGAGTGTATGCGGTCGCCAGTGTGTGAGAATCAAGGGCAAACAGGGTTACCGTGCCTTGGTCATTGACTTTGGCTGTAAAAGCTTTTAGGAGGGGGCATTTGGCCTCTTTAAGGACCGTTGCCATCATGTCAGGGAAAGAAGCCGCAATTTCTCTACTCAGAGCATGGTGAGCAGTGAGGGAATGAGGTGTAAAGAAACTTCTTTCAGCAGCTTGCAGTGGCCGAGGAGCAGGAGGACTAGCCGACCTGGGAACTGTTTTCGCGACTTGTGCTGCTGAGGGGGCGGAGCCACCTTGTTTCTTTTTAGACCTTGAGGGCCCTGAGGACGTGGCCTCAGAATAGGACGTTCTGGTTTTACCAGGGAGGGGGTCCTCTGGGTTGGGAATTCCTGGGAGGAACTCAGCCTGGTCAGGGTATTTGCCATCCCTCCATTGCTGTGCTTCCCATGTCCTGGGATATTTGGCCGCGTAGGCAGCAGGGTTGCCCCGGTACTTGCCTATCGCAGTGTCGTAGTTGGGGAGGTCTGGATCATAGAAAGCGGGGTATCCCGAGGGTAATACCTCAGGGAGGGTGGGGGCAGGGGTGTTGGTGGCTGGCTCTTTACCCTTTCGGGAAGGCCTAGGAAGTAGGGCAGTGGAGGCCAACACAGGCGGTTGGGGTGGAGGAGCGGGGTTTGCCACCAACCTAGTGGACAGATCCCTGATGGATGCTTGGAGGGAGGCCACGGAGTTCGCCAAAATGTTGGTGGCATTGGCCGGGGTGTCATTGGATAGTAGTGTGTTGGCAATCTGGGAAGATAGGTCGTAAATTCTCGTATTGAGCTCCTCGACTGTTCGGGAGAGGGCAGACATTCCATGCATGAGAGAGGAGACTAGGGGAAGCATGTAGCACTCTCTGGTAGAGAGTTCCAGCACCTCCTGACGGGAGATCGGGGGCAGGCTTTCGGGGGGCCAGTCTAGCAGGGCTCTCGCAGAGGGGATCAGTCTGGCTAGGTTTTCGTGGATAGGGAGGATCGGGGCAGCCAACGATGGTCGTGTAGGAGGGTGTGAGGCAGCGCCCTGATTGGACACAGGCGTGCCTGAACGTGAGTGTGCGGAGGGGTCCATGGCCCAGCAAGGAGAGATAATCCCTGGTTATAGGCTAGGAAGATCGTGAAAGTATAAGGGGCTTGTTCACCAGATGCAGATGGTATTGAGAGCAGAAGTAAAACGTAGGAGGGGGGAAAGAAGAGGGCGCGGAGCATGGTGTATCAGAGGTTCCTAGACCTCGCTATTTATACAGACAGCTCACTCAACCCTAACCCTGTGTGACTCATACCTTTATATCACTATATCCTATAACTCATAATCATGAGTCATATAAAATCCTTAGTTGCCTTGTTATGAGTCAACTGCGCAACATACCTAAACCAATCATAATCCTTATAATAAGTCATGTGTGCTAAATGCATCACATGCGTGAGACTCATGACTTATAAATATGAGTCACGTGCAAAAGTCATAACATCATATGACTCACAACTGTGAGTTATCACATAACAATAAACCCCTATGACTCCCAAGTGCAAGTCATGTGAAAATTCTTTGTTCCTCCTTATCAATCTGCCTTGTCACAATCTGGTTTGTGACAATCCTGTACAACTAACATTTCCTGTACACTAGACTTTTATTATGATAATCAACTAAAGTAAGGGATAGTATTTCGATGTAGTTGAAATTTCTTTAGAAGATAAGGCCTTTACTATTAGCCAAGCATATGTAGTAGTATTTTCCAGTACTTTAAATTTCTACAAGCTTAAAGCTTTAATAAGTAAAAATATATTATGAAATAGTATTACAAAAAAAAAAAGTCTTCAGAAATCCTATATTTCTATTAAAAGTTATGCCTAACTTTGTGATAGGAGACACTATGATAACACAAATGACTCATACCAGTAAAACAATTTATCACCAATTGCCAGTATGACTACTTAATTCATGATCTACCTGGGTGGTAACACACGGGTACTCACTTGTGATAATAATTTTATTATTATTATGGTGCCGGTCCGCCAAAACTTGCCCCTATCATACTCAAAGTTCTTTTGGAACCCCCAGACATACTGAATTATTAACATTATACTCGAGGGAAGACCTTAACAGCAATTCCTCTGGTAATTTTGCAAAGAATCCCTTTTCGAAACCTCCAATTACTTTATCTTATCCCTATTTTATCAACACACCCAGGATAACAATTGGAATCATGTTTTAGTAAGCTTTTCGATAAAGTTGCGCAGCATCTGTAACAGCGGCAACTTCTGCATGACCTTGGATGAGAACAAAAATTATGGACTGGTCCAAACCTATGATTTAAGTAACCTTATCAGAAGAAACCCAATTGTATGTTCTCAACAAGAGGTTGTTCCGGGTTCAGGAATTTTGGATTGGCTGAGGGCAGGATTTGGCTGTCCGGAACCGTACTAGCCAATGTTCTCTCCATTCAAAATCACGGGTATTAGGAAACAAGTTAATGCTCTAGCAATCATGGAACTCGTTATACCACGCTATCATCCGCGTATAACTAATCTAGCCTACACACACATATACATAATGGGCGCCCAATTGACCCATACCGATATCCCATATCCAATCCCTATGCGATAAAAACTGGAAAACTGTGCATCATGCAATATTCCCACTTTCTCCACTCTCATCCTCACTCTCGTCCTCTTCATCTTCCCTATCCTCATCTCCATCCAACCCCCAAACATCCACCCTATCCTCCATTTCCATCCATTCATCACCCTCGCCCTCTTCTCCTTCTGTTCCCCTACTCATCAACCCTACCTCCTCATCTACTGCCCTCTCCTTCGCCACCTCAAGCTTCTCCGCCTTTTTCAACCCCACCCAAAGCACGCTCCCCAAAATACACCCGCTCCCCACCAAACTCCCCCACCCAGGCGTTGTCCCCCAGACAATCCGCTCCCACACCAGTGCAAAAAGCATCTGCGTGTAAACCATGTTAGTAGCACGACCAGCTTTCTCGACCTGTAATCCCAGAGTGAGAAAGTACTGTGTCCCAAACCCGCTAATACCGACACCTAGGAGAAGTGCCCATTGAAGCAGCGTATGCGGCCAGATTAGCCCCCCAATTGAAGGTATGAGGAGTGAGGATGTGAGGGAGATGATGCAGCACCAGAGTGAGAAGTAGATCATTACTATCAGAGCGTGTGCACGGTGACCTATCCAGCGAATAGTCGTGAAGGCAGTTGAGATGCCGAGAACGCCGAAGAGGGCTACCAGGACTGCGATTAGGCGTTGGTGAGGGGTCACTGTGGGAATTTCTCGAGCAAGGAGGAGTGAGCGTGGGGTCGGCGGGGAATGGACGGTACTGGGATCATCTGGAGAATCCGTAGGGTCTCGGGAGAAGAGGGAAGTGGGGCGGGCGATTAGGACAACACCAAAGAGGGAGAATATAGATGCGAGGAACTCAGTTTTGGTGAATGACTCATTCAGGTAGGGGATCAGCGAGCAGGCCAACGTGGTTACAATGGGTTCTAGGAAGGTAATCACCGCCGCATCTGAGAGGTCGAGGTATGCTAGTGAATCTACGGTGTTCCACAACTATCAGCATCATATTCCCAACCAAGCACCGGGTGGAGGGAGAAAAGAAAATGCTACAAACAGTATAACCCAAACACTCCGAAAAATCCCCCAAAACCTCTCGCGAGCAGCAACCACCTTACCCCCAATGGACCCCACGGCGCATGCTCCACACTCCGGGAAACTATTAATATACCAACAACAACCGTCGTGACACTCTGCCTGAAAAATAATATCTGCATAGCATGCATTTTCTGCTCCGGGAATGAAGCTTCCAGCACCCTAGTGCAAAGACTCATTGTGGAGCCAAAGAATTGCGAGAGTAGGACAAGTAGTAATCCCCGGCTATTGTATATGACGGACTTGCTCCATATCCATGCCCTGTGCACTCGAAGTCTTGGTGGATGGCGAGGAGGGAGCACACGGTCGGCGAGCGAGAGTGACGACGTTGAATGTGTGGATTGTGTGCATAAAGGTATCAATACGGAATCATTGTCTATCTCTACCGCAGTCGGTGTGAGTGATCGTGAGCGGGAGGATGAGCCCTGTTTTGGTTTTCGAGACATGTCTATTCTTCTCTCTATGCTTTAGTGATGTCTTTTGAGAATTGGTCTTGAAGTAATCGGGTGGTGGGGGTGGAGTCTCAATTTTCCCATGACTCCGTCGCTTTCTGCATTCCCAACTAGCCATCATTCCCCTACCGTACTGCTTCAATAACTCTGCTTGGTCTGGTGGATTTGCTAAGGGTTACGCTACAATGTCGGCAACTAAATTAGACTGAGTGTGGATGGAGCTCCTCAAACCTGTTGGGTTGTGTGGGGCAGGACCACCGGATTGTAGGAAGCTTGTGTGCGGTATGATACAAATGGTGTTGTACATCATGGCACAGGTATGATATCATACGAGAGAGCAGCCAATTGGAGCTTGACCCTAGCCCAGCGAGTGATTTAATGTGATTTTACATGCATGGTATTTTGGGTCTCGAGAGTGTGGAGTCCAGAAAATTTCACATAGTACATTCCACTTCCAAGATAACAGATTAGAAGATTTGCGTTCAGCTTTAGTCTACGTAACCTTTTCTATCCCTCAGCATAAAATGAAACATGAAATACCAGACCAAACTCCGCCGGGGGCTTATAGAGAATCTGCGAAAGAAAATTGAGATGAGAAAACGTGGTGTTTGTTTTTGGATGTTTAAGGTTAGACTAGTCAATGTTAATGTATAGATATCCGAAAGAGAAGGAACCAACTCACATCTGAGATCCCACCCGATCTTGGGCCCAAGACTGGGGAGTTCTTCAGCGACGCTCTGGACGTCTTTATCCCCTCTGCCGGATAGACAGATGACGATATCCTCGCAAGGTTTCATTGTCTTTGCCAACTCCATTCCGCCAAAAATTGCGTGCGCACTCTCGAGGGCAGGAATAATACCTTCGAGTTCAGAGAGTGCTCTAAAGCCTTTGAAAGCCTCGGCATCGGAGGCAGAAATGAACTTTGCACGGCTGCTATCTTTCCAGCTTGCGAGCTCTGGCCCAACTCCAGGGTAGTCTAGCCCAGCGGAAACGGAATGCGTGTCAGAAATCTGACCTTCAGAATTTTGAAGAATATAAGTGCGGACTCCGTGAAGGACACCCTTGCTACCACCAGCAAGTGTAGCTGAGTGTCTAGTAGTATCTAGACCATCTCCGCCAGCTTCTACACCCAACATTTTTACCGAAAGATCCTTCGCAAAGGGGTAAAACATTCCTGCGCAATTCGATCCACCTCCCACACAAGCTACAACCGCGTCAGGCAGTTTCCCCCGCTTCTCCATGAGTTGTTGTTTGGTCTCATTCCCAATGACGCTTTGGAAGGTTCGAACGATTGTAGGGAACGGATGCGGGCCAATGGCTGATCCAATCAGGTAATGTGTTGTCGAAAGGTTGACAACCCACGAACGAAGCGCCTCATTGACAGCGTCACGTAGGGTACGAGATCCTGAGAAAGCAGGTATAAGCATCTTCTAGTCATTAGGGGGGAGAGATTTCTTACCAGCTTCTACAGATATGACCTGAGCCCCTAGAAGCTTCATTCTGAAAACATTCAAGGCTTGACGCCTCACATCTTCCTTTAAAAGGTTAGCGGACCTTTGAGATATTAAAATTCGTCAAGACCAGTTCAACTTACAGCGCCCATATAAACTGTGCACTTCATACCAAACTTGGCACAGACAGTTGCGGTTGCTACACCATGCTGCCCGGCCCCAGTTTCTGCAATAATCTCGGTCTTACCCAGCCGCTTAGCAATAAGAATTTGTCCGATAGCATTATTGATTTTATGAGATCCTGTGTGATTGAGGTCCTCTCGCTTCAACCAGATATTGGCGCCTCCGCACCTCTTGGTAAGATTTTCTGCTAGATGAAGTTGCCCTGGGCGACCCATATAGGGGTAGTGCGACCGAAACTCTTCCCAGAACTTAGGATCGTTATTCGCTTCGATAAAGCCACGCTCTAGCTCTGCAAGGCAATCCATTAAAGATTCTGGTACGTATTGACCGCCGAATTCGCCAAAGCGAGAAGGGATTGACTATCACTGTTAGAAAACTTCTAGTAATACAGAAAAGGTGCCTATCTAGACTTACCTGAGGGCTAGCTTCACTACCGACGTTCAAAGCATCGAGCTGGTCCATTAAGCCTGGGCCTGTCTCCACATCCTTTTCAGCGATGACACCTGTAGGATGGACATCAAGTGGTTCTTTGGCCTTTCCCATGGTTTCCACGATCCCGACTTCACGGGTGGTTGAATCTTTGCCATCCCTACCAACCACCATTTGGCAATACTCCTTAACTTTCTCATTGATCTCTTCGGGTTTTGATTGGGAGATAACATTGATCACTTGTGAGCCAATAACGATACCCTCAGAAAACTGGCCAACCGAAACGAAGTGATCACGGGTGGAAACTCCAAAGCCGACTGCGATGGGAACGTTTCTAGATGCCACATGTACACGCCTACATAGATCACCAAGGCCAACGTTCAATGCACCCGATGCGCCAGTTGTCCCCATACGAGAAACAACGTATATGAATGAGTCGGCTATACTGCAGAGAAACTTCAAACGGGAAGGCTTTGTAGATGGAGCTATAAGCGGAACATAACTCAAACTATGAACACCCTGTCAGTCGGAGCAAATCCATTGATCCCTCGGAGCCAAGCATACCCTTCACTATTACAGAATCCTCTGAATTTTACAGCTTCCTCGGGAGGTAGATCGCAAATGATGAAGCCATTAACACCGGCCTCCCGACAATCCTTGACAAGTTGTTGCTCGCCGTAGCTCAAGACCGGGTTGTAGTATCCCATGAAAAGGACCGGGACTTTCAATCCTTTCCCACGAGCGTCGCGAACTACCTTCAAGGCTGTAGTAGCTGACATACCGTTTTCCAAGGCAATCTATAGCACACATTAACTACCGATAGGAAAATGGATGATTTTTTTTTACACACAGTATTCGCCTTCTGAATAGTCGGTCCATCGGCAATTGGGTCGGTGAAAGGTAGGCCAATTTCAATTATATCTAATATCATTAGGTTCACAAACCAGAGTTAGGATTGTGAAAGGAATCAATCATACCAGAACCCCCAGCCTCCATTGCTAGCATCAGACCTACAGTCGCCTCAGCTGTCGGAAACCCGGCAGTAACATAAGTCACCAAAGCCGTCTGTTTTTGCAACGATTAGCGGCGGCAATTGAAATTTTTTGGTATGCTCTAGAGAAAAGGGAAACTTGCTCTTCCTTCTGCCTTGCAAGTAGCGAACGCCTTTTTAATTTCTTCCATGATAGATTCCCTGGCCCCAGACGATTAATTTTGTTATATAGAGGGTTTTGGAAAAGTATGATAGGCGAATGTTTGTTGCGGAGTAAAAAGAGGGAAGGGGGAAGGGGGCGGTGGGTCGGGAAGTTTTGGGCAGTGTTGGAGGGGCAGAGTACTATACTCGTAGGGGTTTTGGAGGGGCAGAAATCTAGTAGGTGGCACTTATCAGTACGGTACCCTAAGCTACCGTACCATACCAGACTGTATCATACTGCGAAAAAGCGTAGGGTTAGGGCCGCTACGCCCCTCGGGGACCGGCCCGGAGAAAAGTTACAGATTCATAATTATGATCATAGTCAGGTAAATGTCTTAGGTTCTATGTACCGTACTATTTCTTGCGTAAAACCAATCCTCCGGTTCATGGCCTACAGCATTTAGAGTACTGTATAGTCTAAAGCTCTCTGTGTCGCTCATTTTGAGATCCTATTTTCCTCCGAGTTTTACAATACCGTAAGAACGTAAGCCCACCGCACGGCGCTGGAAACAGGATGTACTACACTAACCCGGTTTTCGCCAATATGGTCGGGAGTCCGTCACCAAGTATCACTATCTATTTATCTTCCATTGTGACAATTTGCTGTGGAATACTTGTACAAAATGACCGTTTCCTTCCGTTTGACCATCATTTTTACAGCAGAGACAGTCAAACAGACACTTAGGTTTCACTATCATAATAACAGTTATGATACTATGATAACCTCATGGTACAAATAATATCACAGATTACGATACCGGTATTGTGACACTACTCTCAAGTGAGGAACTTCAGTCTGAGCTTCTTTCCCTTCCTCTTGGGGCACTAGTCCGAGTGATGCCCCATGACTTTAGGGCTGAGACTCTCCCTTAAAATCTGCGCCAAGACATTTAGGAAAAAGTATGACTGCTTCGGGATAGCCGGGTTCTTAAATATATTTTTTTCGGCCCTCCGAAAACACCACATCCACGCCCCCCAGGACTCAATTGATTAGCCAGCAAAGATGTTGTCCTCAGCATTGGTTACGCGGTCGAGAGGGGTGAAGATGAGCCTCTGCCTCTGTTGTCCCCCTCGAGCTCCTGGGGTGTCTGGTGCTTCCCCGCTCCGGGTTCCTGGCGCGACTCGTTTCCGGAGTAGAGGTTCTTCCCGGTATAAGAATATGGCCCATAAGAATCTCCCTAGCCAGAGGATGACCGCTTTTAGAGTGAGTATCGTCACTTGGGCTGGCGCATGCAGGGCTGATATTTGTAGACCCCTAGGAATACTGCATACAATGGTCAACCAATACCCACAGTCGAAGGATTCCTCCAAGCCAGAACTGCCCTGCAGGAGAGAGGGGGGAAACCTGTTGAAAAAAGGGCCGACAAGGCACCTGTGCAAGACTACCGGGGGGTATACACACTTACGGAGCAGGTGTTGAGGAGATTGATCCCGCCACTATGCCATTCGCCAGACATGCATTGCTGGTATAAGGAGAATCCAATGCCCCCAGAGGAGCTCCGAACTCGCTATCTTGCCTTTGTCGATGAAGTTTTGGCAGGATTTACGGTCCAAGATTATACAGCTACGGGCAGCTCTTTGCCAACGCCAGAGAAAATCGCAACGATACACAAAAAAGGAAGTGGATTGGACAACTACTTTGTTGATTCCTTTCTACAATATATTGGCCAAAAGGATTTAGCCAAGAAGGACATTCATATGATCAATATTAAGAAAGCTGCAGATATGAGGTTCCCTCAAGAATGGTATCCGATGGCAAGGCAGTTTAAGAGAACTTGGCATTTACATGTTGGCCCCACCAATTCTGGGAAGACCTATAACGCGTTGAAGAGACTGGAGGAGGCCGCAGATGGAATTTATGCCGGCCCGTTGCGTTTGTTGGCTCATGAAATTTTCGAAAGGATGAATTCCAAGGGAATCCCGTGCAACCTTGTTACGGGAGACGACATGCGGATTGTCTCTGAAACAGCAGCTATATCTTCGAGCACCGTTGAGATGGTGGATTTGAATCGGGAAGTTGAGGTTGCTGTTCTTGACGAGATCCAGATGATTGGAGACGAAGACAGAGGATGGGCATGGACCCAAGCACTTCTTGGAGTACGGGCAAAGGAGGTCCACATGTGCGGAGAAGAGCGAACAGTAGATCTCATCAAGAGCCTTGCGGCTAACGTGGGAGATGAGTGTATAGTCCATAACTACAAGCGCTTAGGGCCGCTTGAAGTTATGAAGGAGAGTCTAGGGGGCGACTTGACGAAGATTCAGAAAGGAGACTGCGTCGTTACGTTTTCGAGGAAGAGCATCTTCGCAATGAAGAAGGAAATCGAGAAGGTTACGGGGTTGAGATGCGCCGTTATATATGGAAGTCTGCCTCCAGAAACTAGAAGCCTGCAGGCAAGGTATTTTAATGATCCCGAGAGTGGCTACGATGTATTGGTGGCTTCTGATGCTGTCGGAATGGGGCTTAACCTGTAAGCTCCCTCTCACTTGTTTCAGGCAATTTTCTCATCTATTATAGGAGTATCAAGCGTATGATATTTGAAACCACAATCAAATGGAATGGCTCAGAATATGAACCTATCAGTGTTCCTCATATCAAGCAGATCGCTGGCCGAGCTGGTCGTTACAAGGTAGCTGTGTCTAAACACAACATTCAAGCCGATGAGACTATCGCCCCACTACCTGCTGCTCCCTCAGTAGGTCTCGTTACAACACTGGACGAGGTAGACTACAAATCTCTCAAATATGCCATGTCAGTTACTCCAAAGCCGATTGCAACAGCTGGTATCCTCCCAAACTCATCTCAGATTGAGGAGTTCGCATCCCTATATCCCCCGGATAAGGAGCTATCTTTTACCCTCAAAACAATGGATGAGGCCATGCACACACGGAAGTTGTTCCACATTTGCCGGGTAGAAACGCAGATCAAGACTGCGAAGTTACTGGAAGGGATAACGGGCTTGAGAATTCTCGAAAAGTTGCAATTTTGCATGGCCCCTATCGGGCGCAACGTAACAGTCCAAGAAGCAGTGAGGAAGATGGCAGAGTGTGTGGGTTACAATAAGGATGGGAGTCTTCTGGAAATCCCGAACCTGGATTTGGAAGTTCTGGATATCGATAACCCGAAAACTATGCCAGTCTTACAGCGCCTGGAGTCATTGCACAAGACCATCTTGGTGTGGCTTTGGTTGTCGTATGTGATACTCCTGCAGCCTTACTTTCGATAATAGAACTGGTGTACTGATAGAACAAACAGCTGGCGTTTCCCTGCTACCTTCGCTCCGAGAGAAACAGCTCAGGAGCTTAAGACGATTTGCGAAGAGAAAATTGATATTGCACTATCTAACGTACGTTTCGAAAGAGGAAAGAAGCCCAGGTACGAGAGGATAACCCTCGGAGCCTCGATGGATGCGGAGGAAATTGGAAGGAACACAGATGTAGAAGGGCCTCTTAGCGACCTTGGCGATGAAGGCGGGTTCGAAGAGACGGTTTTGCCACACCTGAACAACAATCTGGTCGACTCGGGGAGGTTAAGGCGAGTAGCCGCGGCTAATTGAGGGTGTAACTGGGGGATCCGGGGAAGAAAAGTTGAGCACAGGGTTTGTTTCAAGTGATAGATGGCGTACGGATTTGTTTTACAGCGGGGTGAACCGCAATTGCCCTTTGATAAACTTTTGGGGGATTTGACGGTCAATATGTATATTTATGTACTCCATTATTGTATTCATCGGGTTGAATGAGGATTCTGAAGCATTATTTATTCTTGAAAGCACATCTCTCTCGACTTTGGGTAAAGCTTTGGAAACTTCTTTACGTAGTACTATATATAAAGGTAAGTTTCTTGCCTTCAATTCACTATTATTAGTGATGTCGATACTGGTAAGTTACCACGCACATTCCTACAAATATAATGTATGATTTGATGATAGAATCTGATGTAGGTAACTTTTTAGTATTATGATCGGCACTCGGGTAGTGTTTCGACCAAGCCGAAGATGCAAGAAGAGGGCACACCAGAAACCCTGTTCTCAGACACCTGTGGCGAGTGCTATGATGCCGCAAAAAGTGCTCAAACTACGATAATTATGGTACTGTACATTACAAAAACGTGAACGGAAATAACAAAAACAAGAATAAAAATAGGTCACTGGAGAGGATATATGCCGTACTACCAGGAATTTATGAGAATCTGATGATAGTAACCCCATCCACAATCGGAATTGAAGTTGGGCTTGATAAATCCTTAATTCGATATTGACCTAACTCAGGTAGACATGGAGGGGGTAGACTCAAATACACATATATACCAACTTACCGTACTGGCATCCTACTTTACCAACCACGGCCTAACTTCAACGGCATTCGAGTACTCGTATAAACTATTAGGAAGGCTGGGCTAGGCTAAGGCCCGCAATCTGGCTTCCCGTTTAAGAAGGAGGGCCCGACTGCAAGCATGGGGAGAAAGCTTCAAGTTATCAATAGGAAAACCAGACAAGAAGTACAGTACTTTGTACAGTACAGCTTACTACCGGTGAACCGTTCTTGTGTTCAAGAGAATCGTGGTATCATATGACAACGCACATGAATGCGAAAGGGGGTGCTTATCTGTGCACAGAGCAAAGTTTAAAAAGGGTCATGTATAGAAGTACGGCAGAAGGAGTCATAATCTATGACATAGTCGCAGCCCCGTAAAGGGAATCGTGGACTCTCATTCGTAGTGGGTCGGATGAGGTGCCTCATGGGGGGAGAGTTCATGTCCCGGCTGTGGATAAGTTAATTTACATAAAAATGCAAAGCTGTTCACCTACCATATTCAAACTATTCCTAAGCAAAACGGTATCATACTGTAGCTTGAAACAATCAATTTAGTCCGTGCGCTTGTAGACTATCCTGGTGTAGACTACAAAGGTTACCCTCCCGAATGCGGGGCTCCCAAATACCCCAGAAAAGTTCAACCCGAAATCCTTGGCGCCCTCCACGCAATATCCACCACAGACGACAAGGCCACCCCCTACAGCCCGACAATCCCTCTCTTCCGCTGCATCGATAATAATGTCTGCTACTAGTCTCTTAAATCCTAAAGCTGAATCAGTCCGTCGCGGGGAAGCTCTCCGAGTGAACATCGCTGCTGGTGAAGGTAGCTTCCGCTATATTTATTTGCTCCTGTTTTAGTTGTCATAACTAACTAATTGGGACGGATAGGGTTGCAGGATGTTTTAAAATCGAACCTGGGCCCCTCGGGGACACTAAAGATGCTTGTTGATGGGTCGGGTCAGATTACATTGACTAAGGATGGGCAGAAGCTGCTGCGTGAAATGACAATTCAGAATCCTACAGGTATCTTATCTGCACTGGGATGGGTGGATATTGGAGCAAGGGCTTGAGAATCTTGCTAACGAGTTGCAAATATAGCTGTGATGATTGCGAGGGCAGGTATGGATTTCTATCTGCCGTAGGTTGCTATAAAGCGCATGTTGATGCTAACTCGAGGGTTTTAGCAACGGCCCTTGATGACATCGCTGGTGATGGAACTACTAGTGTAGTACTATATGTCGGGGAGCTCCTGAAACAAGCAAGAAGATATATCGAGGAGGGTTTACATCCCCGTATTATCACTGAAGGTTTTGAGCATGCTAAAGTCGAGGCGCTTAAAGTTTGATCCACCCAAAGACATTGTCATCACCAAGCGTTGCCTAACTTATCTGGCCATGTATAGTTCCTAGATGGCTTTAAGATCGCTCGCGAACCAGACCGCGAGCTCCTACTCTCGGTGGCTCGCACTTCCCTTTCCACCAAACTTAACAAAACCCTTGCCGAATCTCTTACCCCCGCTATTGTCGATGCTGTTTTGACAATCTACAGTCCTCCAGCGAAACCCGATCTGCACATGATAGAAATTATGAAGATGCAACACCGGACCGTCTCGGAGACACAATTGATTCGTGGTTTAGCGCTGGACCATGGTGCCCGCCACCCGGATATGCCGAAACGTGTAGAGAATGCACACATCCTTACTCTCAATGTCTCCTTGGAGTACGAGAAGAGTGAGGTAAACTCCGGCTTCTTCTACTCATCTGCAGAGCAGAGGGAGAAGCTTGTTGAGAGCGAAAGGAGGTTTGTTGATGAGAAATTGAGGAAGATTGTTGAATTGAAGAAAGAAGTTTGCGGAAATGACCCCAAGAAAGGGTTCGTTATCATCAATCAGAAGGGAATTGATCCTTTGAGTTTGGATGTTCTTGTAAAGAACGGTATCTTTGCTCTTCGACGGGCCAAGAGGAGAAACATGGAGCGTCTACAGTTGGTATGCGGTGGTGTATCTCAGAACAGTGTTGACGACTTGACCCCCGATATCTTAGGTTGGGCTGGAACCGTTTATGAGCATACACTTGGCGAGGAGAAGTACACCTTCATTGTATGTCCACCTAAGGTCACTCTTGGCTTTGTTCTCGGAAGCTAACCGAAGGAACAGGAAGACGTCAAGAACCCAAAATCTGTCACTCTACTCATCAAGGGTCCCAACGCACACACCATTACTCAAATCCAAGACGCAGTCCGTGATGGGTTGAGGAGTGTTTATAACATGATTGTCGACGGCTCGGTCGTTCCAGGAGCTGGCGCTTTCCAAGTTGCCTGCGCAGCGCATCTTACCGGCGAAGCCATGCGAAAGTCCGTCAAGGGCAAAGCAAGAATGGGGGTACAGGCATTCGCAGACGCTCTATTGGTTATTCCCAAGACCCTTGCGGCGAATGCTGGTTTTGATATTATGGACTCCTGTATTTATTCGGTTTACCTCACTTCTCAGAGCTAGATGCTAATGATGGGTGTAGTGGCGGCTCTGCAAGACGAACAGGCGGAGGGCAACATTGTCGGAATCGACCTCAACAGTGGGGAGCCCATGGATCCTGTATCGAGAGGGGTTTTCGACTCTTTCCGCGTTCTCCGGAATTCGATTGCTAGTGCGTCAAGCATTGCTAGCAACCTTTTACTCTGCGACGAGCTGCTTAAGGCAAGACAGATGGTAGGCTTGATAGCACACTTTCCGTCGCTGAAGGACCGGTTGCTGACAATTAACAAAGGGTTCGAAAAGTGGACCGGGCGGTGCACCGGAGGAATAAGTGCGATGATGATATGATATGGAAAATTTTAGACTTCAGATGGGAAAAGGGCTTAAAACTGAACGGATAAATAAAAGGCCTCCCCACATTTGCTTGGTTTATGGCTCCTTCTTTCGTCTCTTCGTCGTGACCTCATTGATCGAGCTATATGTATGGGACGAAATGAATAAATAAATAATCCGTGGATCTGGCGCGCTTTTCCCTGCACTGCTCATGCCCAAAGAAAGACTCATCTCATCATCCCCCACCACAAAAAAAACCTACCGTACTGAAAGATGCAACCCAAAAATAACACAATAAAAAAATTAACATGAGAAGGCTAAGTAGCAGCACACAGGAACCAAAAACGGATCGTTCAATAGAAGAAAGAAAGTAAAAGAGGGAAAAAGAAAAAGACTAGTCCCCCTCCACCTCTTCCCCACTCAACCCCCTCCCAAACTCCTTCTCACTAGCACTCCACTCTTTCCTCTCCTGTACCATCCTCTCGACAAATGCGCCCGTGAACTTCCACACCTCAGCGCTTCCCAAATTCCACGCCTCAACAGCCCACCTAATCCTAGCAACCTTCTTGTCTTCCTCCATTTTCCCCACCTTCCCGCCAAGCACCTCACCAACCGTCTTCCGAAACACGACATTCCTACGCTCGTCCCCGGCCGGCTTTTCAATCTTCAACTCGGCCTCGGAGGCGAGCGTGAATCCGAATATCCACGGGATCTCCTCCTCGAGGACGGGCGCCTCAGCCGAGACCCACAGACTCGAGAAGTTCGCCCCAGCGTGGGCGGCGACGATCTCCTTGATGGCGACGACGCGGGTGCCGGGGCCCACAGCCTTGTCCAGCGGGGGCGTGGTGGCCTTGTGTAGCCATGCGTCTCGATCCCGCGTCTGAACGCGCACGTAGCGGATGCTGCGTTGGGTGTTTTCCGATAGACTAAAGGTCGTGTCCATCAGCGCGTAGTAGGTGTACGGATGCGGCACGGCGGCGAGGAGGAAGGTGGAGGGGTCCTTAGAGATGAAGGGTTTGACTGCCACGGGGGGGTTCTTGCAGAAGTTGCAGGGGCGGTTGGATGGGCAGGAGCCCGGGATTGGGTTTCCGGGTGGGCAGAGGGAGAGGCGAGCCGCTAGGGTTGTTATGGCCGCGTAGGCCGGTTGGAGTTCGATGGGTAATGGAGAGAGGAGGGTTATGCTAGCGTTGTAGATTGACAGGAAGGTTTCGTGCAGGTGCGAGTTTATGAGGTCGGGGAGTTGGGTGGCGCTCAGGTCTGGCCAGCGGTCCGCTACCACTGATGGGGTGTAGTCGGCGAAGGAGCGGGGGTGGGGTTCGATGCGGATTAGGCCTTCTGGGGCGGTCTCTGAGATTTCTTCGATGGATGAAGTGTTGTTGGTTGCGGTGTCGGTGATATGCTTTAGGAAGGTGTCGATTGAGGACTTGTCGCCGGCGAACAGACGGTTTCCCCAGCCTTCGTACCTGGTCACGCCGTCAAATTCACAGCGACGGAGGGCAGTGAGTCCGTAGTCGTCGCGGGAGGCCATCGGTATGATCTATCTCGAGAACAATTAGATGAACTCCCAACCTAAATCGCTTCCCCCTATAGAAAAAACCGATATCACACATACCCTATAATCCACCAAAGCTCCCCCCGTCCCAACCCTCCCCCAGGCCAACCACTTCATAACCTCCCTCTCAAACCCCTCGTTAAACCTCCCCCTGACAAGCCTATAAAGCCCATGCTCCTCCGCCTCCGCCCTCCCAAGCACCAACGGCCTAAAGCCCTGCGCCCAGAACGCCCGCCTCCACGCTAACAACACCCTATCCTCCTTCGCGTTGCTATCATCGAAGAAGGTATAAACAGGACACCTCTTCTCCAGCGGCGGCAGCGCACTCCTCTCCTCGTTCTTAGCAATGTTACTGCTAAAGGGATTGAGCCACTTCCAGCTGGAGAACCAGCCCTCGCTGGATGCCGTGGAATTCGACGGCGGTGGCGGCTTGTGCGTTGCCGGCTTGAAGAGGTTCAAGCCGCTCGGCGCGTGCTGTTTGATCTCGGACTTTAGGTTTGGGAGCGAGAGCTTCCGCGCTTTTTGCGGCGTCAGATTTGTGGGAAGGAGGAAGTTGAAGGTTAGGCTTATTATGGAGATGGTGCCGAGGAGGAGGATATAACGTCTCGCTGCCATTTTTTGGCGGGGTTTTTTCCGGTGGGGGGGAGTTGGTTTTTTGATGGAGAGACGACGATGGGGGGTGGAGGGTGTATATTGTCTAGTACGGTACGATTGCTATCGTACAAGTACCGGTATAGTAGCGCTATCCTATGATACCAATCCCGCAGCTGGAGGTGGTGGTGGTGGTGGACGCAACTGGAAGGGGTTAGCTCAAACGGTAGACCCTTGGGGTACCGGTGCTTGTTGTGTCTTGAGAACTGGAATAATCGTGCCTCACACACCAGGAAGTCCAGAATCTCCCCTCTCTGGATAAAAGGGGGGGAGGCACCCCGAAAGAAATAGTCTAAATAAAAAAACCCCAACTTTCAGCCCTCCGCCGAGACATATGATACTCGCATTTTCCCGTGGTTATGGGTCCCCGCCAGGACAGGGCTTTATAAGACTCAAGGTTGTTCTGGGTGCCAGGCATCTGGAATCGACCAATCAACGGCAAACACACTCTAAAAAAATAATTAGCAAGAATAGCTTTTCCTTCGATCCCGTCGACCGGTGTCAGGGAAGAGAGACACAGACTTCGCATGAACGATAGGTCTACTCGAGCACCGGTACGAGTACTGGAGTATGTGTCCCGTCAAATATAAACCCCAACTCTCTGGGCAAACTCCCGCCCGGCGCTAGAGTCGCCTCAGCAGGGAAAATGCGGGGTCGGAAAAACCATGTTGGCTTCGCCACTGGGGGCACACAATAGTCTAACATGTCATGGTTGTCTCTTCCGCATACCGGTAGGCGGTGTCTGTACTTGTACTAGTAGACTATGTGCTATTTCAAATTGACTGGTGTCGATTTGCATACGAGTACTGTACAGCATCAAACGAATTCAATAACCATGAGTACTCGAGTATCAGAGCTCTCCTCCTCCTCCAGATGGCGACCTCCTGCTCCAAGGCTGAACCTTCCCCAGATCTCCAAGTGCCAATGGTGGGATCGGTTGGGAAGCCACTGATACCCGTAGACTATTGAGCTCTGAATCGCGGCTCCTATCGGCGGGAGCCCCTATTGGATTAGGTGTGACAGTTAAAACACGCCTAACATATCATATCTTAGATATTCCAATCCTCCAGCTCCAAATCGCGTAAATGGATGGGCTTCGTCTGTAAAGTCTCGTACTGTACAGTACATCAATCATCCCCTTCAGACTAAGGCTTATTGGTGGAAGCGTCCAAGAGCCACTGTAACGTAAGACCTTGTGCATCCGTCAGAAATAATTGGCGGTATGATAACCGTACAACCAAAAATGGCTGATATCAAGCACTCACGACTAGCCCTGGAGCAATATAATACAATAGACGAAGTCAATGTCATAACGTACCGTAGGCAATTTCCCAGAGTTTCTGGGCATGATATCATAGAAACCATGGATTTCACCCACTCCACCATGAGGGCTATCATAACAGCTCAGGATCTATGAGTGGATTTGGGCAACAGCCTGTCTTGGTGGAAAACAGCGAACGGCAACTAGGAAAGTTAGCCGCACTAACGGGAAGAGAGTAACTATACTTCTGAAAAACCTATATAATACCAACGGGCCAAATCGCTAAACCCCCCCCCCCGACCCAAGCATAAGCCTACTGTACCGATCCGTCAATTAATCAGGTTAAAATCTAATAATATTACATGTTGCAAATCATCCCCACTCACTCGCTTTCAAATCCTAAACGGTGCCCCCGAGCCTCCTAATATCCCTCCCGACACTCTCAATCCTGCGCAGGAGCGCGGCGTACCTCTCCACAAGCCCAGCCATATCCGCCCCCGCAGCGCCATACCGCTCCAACTCCCCCTCAGCAACCCTCTTTCTAGCCACAAGCCGCAGATTCGTATCCGTCAAGTGCACCCTATAATTCTCTAGCGCGCCAACAGCCTCCTCATCATACACCTCACCCAGTGCATCAAACCGCACAACCCCAACCTTCCCACGCATGCTCTCGGCAAGCAAGGACAAATACATCGCCTTCGCCAACGTCCCCTTCTGCAGGGCTCCGCACGCGCCCCCGTCAGAAGCGGAATGCGAGAGGGCACGCAACGAGAAGGCGGCGTAACCATCCGCAACCTCGAGGATTAGCCTGCCCAGTCGGCCCCGCTGCGCGACGAGCGATTGGTGATTGGCAAATATCTGGGTACGTAGACGGGCGGCGTTGGCCGGGAGGTGGTCTATCGCCATGGCTACCCCCCCACCCCCTGTTCCCACTTCTACATCTAGGTCGGGCTGGACAAGTGAGATTAGGTCTTTAGCGGACCGATCTAGGAATAGAGAAATATCGTGCGCGATGGGTTGGATGTTATCATGGAAAACGGATAGCGCTTCGGACATGCTTGCGCTTGCGCTTTTGGTGTTGGTGCTTGCGGAGGAGGAGGAGGTGAGGAGGTCGAGGACCTCTGAAAGGTCTTCTGGTAGTTGTCGGGTGCGAAGGGTAGTGTGCTTTAAGGAGTTTTGGAGCAGGTGTTGTTTTGCTAGTTCGGCTCTGTAAGTGCGGAGGGATTGGTCAAGGGTCGAGGAGGTGGGGGGTTGTGAATTGTGTGAAGGTAGTGGGGGCGGATGACGGGTGCTGGCGTCTGGGTTCAGGTGGTTGGTTGTTAGGTCTGTGTAGAGTGTTGAAAAGAGGGGGTTTGCCGAGAGGGTTTCGGGGGAGATTGGGGGGAGCATTGTTGTGATTGTCGTGTGGTGTTAATGTTTGAAATGAAGGTGGAGTTTGAAGGCCGGAGGAAGGTTTGGGGGGCTGTCTAGCTGGGTGTTTGGCGGTATTATGGCAGGGCCTTGGCAACTTTCTCGCTTACTACTCATACAGGCATGCATACGAGTACTGTAATATGGTACCATACAGCGTGAGCGCTCCCAAATCTCCGATCAAGCTCACTCTACAACTTGACAGCAGAATTAGCTACCGTAATTCCAATACAATCCCCCCCCCCAAAAAAAAACACAAAAAAAACAAAGACCAACCATTTTGCCGTACCAACCAGCCCTGTCCTATCCTGTCTGTCCTCTACAAAATTTAGTCTAACCCACGAGCAACTTTCTCGAAAAAGAAAAAGAAAACAGAGAACATATAAATATATATACTACACATGATATTACAAATAGATATCATATCCCCTGTAGGTAGAAGAAAATAAAAAAAATAAAGGCCAAGATCAAGAGTGAGGAAAGAGATGAAGGGGGGGAACTTTTCTAAACCAATCTATACTGCTCCAATCCAATCCAATCCAATTCAGTCTACTCTAACCCTTCCAGTCCCCTTCGACTCCGTCGGATCTCCAGTTCCGAATCCCCAGTGAGGCTTCCTCTTCCTCTTGCCAGACTTTTCACCATACTTCTCGTCAAACTTGCGGATTGCTGTGAGCGAGGACATGTCGTCACTAATACTCGCCGTGATCTCTTGCAGCGCTGTTTGGAAATGCCTGTCATCCAAAGTGCGCTTCTCAGGGAAGGTAAATGACTGCTTTTCAGCTTTTGCTTTCGTAGCCGCAGCGTTCTCCTCACGGACACAGGCTAATGCGGCGGAGACGCAGAGGTTCTTCAGATCTGAGCCGGAGAAGAGGGTTGTTTGCTCAGCAAGTGATTGGAGTGATACCGATGGCGCGAGGATTTCGGCTGCGAGGTGTATCTTGAGAATCTCTTGGCGGTCTTCGACGGTAGGCAAGTCTACTAATATTCTCCGCGGGAGACGGCGGAGGACTGCATCGTCGAGGTCGAATGGACGATTCGTGGCAACCATGATGAAGGCGTTGGATTGCATATCTGCCCATTCTTTCAAAAACTGGTTTATGATTTCTCGGTGGGTGGTGCGGGTAGAGTGACTGTGGCGGCTACCGAAGATTGCATCGGCTTCGTCGATGAATACGACACAGGGTGAGAGTTTCTTTGCTAGGGAGAAGATGGCTTTGACATTTTTCTCGCCCTCGCCGACGTACATGTCGAAGACTTCGGAGCCGGAGACCTCTAATACCTATATTGTTCAAGAATCCGATATTAGTATTAATTCATGCAAATTTGGGAGAGATGATGGAACGTACTGTGGCCCCACTCTCCTTTGCTACCGCCCTTGCTAGTAAGGTCTTTCCGGTCCCGGGTGGCCCATATAACAGCACACCCGGTATCCGGTCAGTAGCCAGTACACCATATTTGAAGGCCTCGGGTCTTATCAAGGACAACGAAGTTAACGTCTTTAATGCCTCAATGGTTTCTTCTGGAGCTCGGACGGACGAGAATACCGTGTGAATCTCGGCCGGGTCGATGACACCCCCCAGTAACTTCTTTTCGTGCGCAGTGCAATTCTTAGGTATCTTGGGCCTCTTCCTCAACGGCTTTCCTTCTAGTGCTGCAGCCTTCTCCGCTTCATCCTGCTCAATCTCATTCATCATCTCCGCCAACTCCTGTTCCGCCCGATCAGCGGTCATAGCCCATTGAATCTTCGCAGAATCACTGCGATCGAGAATCTCGATAGCCTGTTTAATATCATGTCGAGTAGCTGACGTCCTCCCATTCAATTCACCAAGTATTAACGTACAGAGCCGGTGAACGTGCTCAAAATTCCATATATTGGCGCCAGCACTTGGAACGGTAATGCCAAACTCCTTCTCTGCTTCCGAGCCGATAGGCATAGGCTCTATTGTTACCGACTGCCCGTTTTCCCCACTCTTCCTGCGCAGTAAATCACCTAGATGTCGTATGTTAACTTCTCGGCAACGGGTCATCTTATCGTCGCGATACCTCGGATTCAGTGGATGGGCGGGCACGATAATAGTTCTCTCGAAGGAGCTACCAGACTGCAGTTGTGCTGTCAATACACCGGACTTTGTGAGGTAGTTTTCAACCCCCTCTTCTGCTGAAGAGGTGCCGATGACTACTATGTTTTCCCCGTTGTTTCGTCGTTTCAGTACAACTTCATAGAATATTCGGAGTATTGCCTGGCCGGAGTTGTTTCGCTCAAGCTCACGAAAGTCCCGTACATGGATGATGGTTTTCTGATTTGGTGGCACCCCTGAGGATTGGGTATCACTAGTGGGCTGTCCTTTTGTCCGTTTGATCCGATTCGCAGAAATCACAGATTCAAGAATGCTCCATATCTTTTGCTCGTTCGCCCTCTCAATAGATTGTTCAGAAACTTTTTCCGGATCCGGCGGAGCCGTAATAGAGAAGAGAGGAGAGGCAAACACTGGAACTTGTCCGAATCCTAACAACTGAGTCAATTGGGTCCAGTTCGTTGGTGCCCGCTGAGCAGGAACGAATGTTTCTTGTGGTTCAGTCTCCTCCTCGTAATCCCCCTCCTCCCCCTCCTCCTCCTCCTCCTCCTCTGCGGATTCTTCAGCTTCTTTACTCTCTTTTGGGGCAAAGATGTCGTACCCCAAAGAGCGGATGGAAAACGATGAGATAGGAGAAGAAGTTCCTAAGAAGCTTTTAGACTTTCCTGAAAAGTCAAATGGTAGAGTATACCAACCCAACCGCGAGTCCCCCACAGACTCCCCAAGCAATTCCTCAAGATCTAGTGGGTCAATCCTGATCACGTCCGCCCCCACATCCTGGGCTACTTTGTTGACTATCGCATCCAATTGGTAGACACTACCGCCAATAGGACTGTGAAGTATGCAATGTGATTTCAGCGCAGCTAGGCTATGAGAAGACAAACGCTTCGGCGACGCCAACCCGGCCCGTAAAGTCGCCACAACCTCCCTCCATACATTCTCTTCCAGCAAATAGCGTGTCAATATCTGTTTGTTTAGACCTTCGGGAGTAGTATCTGGTGGTGGATAATCCAGCGACGCTCCTGGTAACGTCGAAGGAACATAATCCGATGAGCTGGAAGTAATGACAGCTTTAGGACCGAGAGCAGCCTCATCCTCCAGCAATCTCACCCGCTGATCCACAAACCATTCCGGAACCTTCAACGGTAAAACTGCATCATCCCTTAGCTTTACCACCGGCCGTCGCTTCACACCTGCTGGTCTCCCTCGTGCTCGAGGTCGGCCGTCAGAATCTCCGTTGCCCCCGTCCCCTCCCGTTTCCGTCGCGACAACCCTTTCTGCCACCGGCTCCGTAGCGTAGATCGACTCCCCCTCCAGTGTGGCTTGAATGTCATCGCTTGTTGGGTCCTGGGAAACTGGGGCGCTGGCTGGTATTTTCTCAGTCCGCAACTCTGTAACGGAAATCGGGGAAGTCTTCGAATTATTGAGTGCATTCCGGGAGAGGTGGAAGTGTCTTATCGTACGTGGGCGAGGACGCTTATGCAGTAGTGCTCGTCTGGATAAGGGAACTAGCGACGACACCACTCGACGGGTGATGGTATGCATCACAATGTCAGTGGGGGCAAACTGATGGGGGTTTTGCTGAACTAAGGTTGTTCTTGGAAAACGTTGGTTGGTCTTTTTGGCGAAGGACTTTACATCTAGACTATTTTTTTCTTGTTCCTCCAGAGCTTGGCTGCTTGTGTCATGGACTGCGGGCCTGCGGCACCCAATTGGCTTATCTTATCTTATCTTATCTTACAATCAATCCATTGCAATTCCATTTCCTCCTTCCTTCCTGTGTGCTACAGTTCCGGACAACAAAAGAAGAGAACAATACATGAACGACAGCAACACAAGATTGATGTTATGTAAAAAATAAGAGCATGGAAACAAAGAGAAACAGTGTGAGAATAAAAGTATGGCTTTATTTTGTTAATTAAGAACATGGTGAGGGCAGGTGGTAGATAAAAAGAAGCGAAAATTTTGTATGAGTAGAAAAAAAGTGAAAAGCCAAGAATGTGCCCAAATAGGAAGATCAAGTGATATCTGATGTTTTGTGCCAAGATGTTACATAAATGCTGAAGAAGAATAATGCAAAAAGTGGTAGTGGTTTAAACGAAGAAGAGAAGAAAATTGTTTTAGAACAAGAATAGTCACAATGCTTCTATCAAAGAAGCGGATTGTTAGGTGGAGACAACCTGATAGACTTCAAAGTTGTCTAAGTCAACTAAGATTCGTTTCTGTAGATGGAGATTGTCTAAGAAGGCTTGAATTCACTCGTTTCGATTATAACTACTAAGAGCGAAGTAAAACAGGTAAAGTAAGAGTAATGATCTCTCCTCGGATAGTTAATTCTTGGCGACAGGAAACGATACTTCTCTTCTTCTTCTCTTTCTTTCCTTAGTCATATGATAGCACTAGGCTTCTGCTTTCATTACCAATAGTACAAGACCTTTGTCTTCTATTGGGAACTCCTATCATAATCTTTCTCTAACTCTTCTTCTTGAAGAACTCTCCTTGGCGTAATGATAATGTTGCAATAAAGATAAAGATGGTAAAGGTGTTTTATATTTGTTAAAGTAATAAGTAGGAAAAGTACTTAGAACAAAGCGTAAAGGACCTATCCTTCTCGGCTGCATCAGCCTCCTTATATAGTGTCCTTCCTACCCGTAGTCATGTGACCCAGAGTGTTCACATGTGTGAAACCAAATCATAACAAACTAGTCATGTGACTATAGTGGTCACATGCTCAAAACCCATGACCTCGTAGCAAGGTCATGTGAAAACTCATAAACCAATCATAACACAATAAACAAGTCATATGACTCAACTGAGTCATATGCATGAAACCCATGACCTCATAATGAGGTCATGTGCAAAACATAAATCATATGCACAAGGCATACTCGCAAGGTTCACTCGCAAGGCATACTTGCCAGGTGCATGTCTTATGACTCATAATCGAGTCATGTGCGAAACATAACAAATCATAACATAATAAATCATATGACCCAAATGAGTCATATACGTAAAACAATAACATACCTATGACTCATAATCATGAGTCATGTGAAAAGCTTTTCTATGCCAAGCTACGTTTGTGACATTAGCTTCTCTCCCCCTAAGCCTGAGTCCCATCAGGCTTGATCCCCAAGTTTCAATAGTTCCCATTCTAGCTGAACGCATGGATTTCCAGAACCTATTGAGCTTGTCATCTGCTTCCCGCCATCTTACCCTCACTGTTTCCAAGGTGAGGTTTGCTATCTCAATCGTGTGCCACTGGGCATCTGTCAGCTACCTCAGCTCCACGATCGTTTTATCGTTTGCTGAAATTGTGGCCTCAGCTTGGCCCAGTTGTTCTCGGAGTTCTTGGATTTGCCTGTACAGGCTTCTGGTATCCGGTTCCGTTTCCGTAGATGAATTTTTGGCTCCCCCCTCCCTGGGCCTTATCCTCGAGGCCCTAGCCCTTTGCCATATCATGGCATCCTTTCTGTCCAACTCTTTCTTTATTCCATTCTTCTCCGGGTAGTATCATGCTGTGATTTTCTTCATCTTGTGCATCTTGCATGTATTGTTGAAGCACTGTTTCCAGTGCTTTAAGGGATGGTCCGGGTGCTGGACCATATTTTTTGGATTCTCTCGGGAACTATCTCGAGCCTTCCTTGTCCCCATAGTGTGTGGGACATCCATCGTCGTAGTATACCCTCTATGACATGGCATTATGCAGTGCTTGTTTTTCCCTTTCCTTCAGTTCTTCGTCAGTCAGCCCGGTGAATGAGTATCTGGGGCTGGTTGGTGTCGTTTGTCGCGGGCTATCCCCTCAGCCCTGTTGTGGTTGCAATGGCACGGGAGCCTTTCTCTCGCCTTTGTCTTGGTTGAATGTGATCATCAACTTGGCCAGGTATGCCTGGGTATCGCTGGTAGAAGGTTAAGAGAGCATTTTGTACATTTTCGAAGTTTGGTGCTTAGTAACAAGTGTTATTGTGTTCGGGCGAATATACTGTCCACTTGGCTCTGTATTGGAGGGGACTGTGGAAGAAGTAAGAATCGACAATTTCGTTGAGTTTGTATTCTGGTTGTCTGTCGAGTTCGATCTGAGGAGAAGGAACGCTTATTTATGAGGGAAACTTGTTGTCGTTGTATAATTCGATGGGTGAGATGTGGAATGTATTGTATATTCGCATTGAGGGTGGAAGGTCGAGTTTATAAGCTCGGCTGTCCACCCTTTCCAGTATCCTGAATGGTCCGATTTTCTTGTAGTCCAGTTTCTTTGATGGTCGCGTCGTATGGATATTGAGTGGTATTAGTCATACCATATCTCACGGTTATATGTTTGGATCCGGTCTTCAGTGCTTATTATATTGTTTGTTTTGCCGTTGTTGTGCTTGACTCATTTCGTATTGTAATGTCTCGTGTAGTTTTCCCATATCTGTTTTGTTGTCATGAATGTGGCTTGGCATGAAAAAGGTTTTCACATGACACATGGTTATGAGTGACAGGAATGTTATTGTTTCACACATATGACTCATTTGAGTCATATGATTTGTTATGTGTGGGATTTGTGATGCTTTCACACATGGCTCAAATATGAGTCATGGGACGTGTGCCTAGTGAGTATGACTTGTGAGTGTACCTTGCGGGTAAGCCTTGCACATATGATTTATGTTTTACATATGACCTCGTTATGAGGTCATGGGTTTCATGCATATGACTCAGTCGAGTCATATGACTTGTTTATTGCGTTATGATTGGTTTATGAGTTTGCACATGACTTCGCTATAAGGTCATGGGTTTTAAGCATGTGACCACTTTGGTCACATGACTAGTTTGTAATGATTTGGTTTCGCACATGTGACTACTTTGGGTCACATGACTACAGGCAGGAAGAATACTATATAAGGAGGCCGATGTGGCCGAGCAGGATAGGTTCTTCTTGCTTTGTTCTAAGTACTATTCCTCGTCCTTGCTGTCGCTTCGCCCAGAGTGTTTCTCTCGCACTCTTGGTGGGCCTTAATGCCTTGGATTCTGGGGGAGATATCTGAGTTCGCTCAGTAGTTCCTGGGGTCTTTGGTGTTGAGGTCTGTTAGGTGTTGCGTGGCGGACTACGTGTTTGCTTCTCGTTTCGTTGCCTGATGGCTTCTCACGATGCTGTCACTTTGAGCACTTCATCACTGTCGCTTACAAGTCCCTTTCGGTAAAATGACTATGGCTTCCTGTCTATTGTCTACTCGCAGGTTTGGCGTTCGTTTGGGGCGATTGAACATTGTGTTTGGGGAGATCACCCGTGTCATTCTTTAGGCCAGCCCATGTCTTTTGTTGGGTTTTAATGGAGTTCTTAGTTCTTGCGATACAAAACGCCCTTGAGGTAGACTGATGACCTTCCCAAGAATCAACGCATCATACCCGCCGCATCAACCCACTGGGGAGGGGGCCTTGCTGGCCCCCCCCTCCTCATTACTACATGTTTCTACGGTCAGAGTCCTACGATGTTGTTTATCCCCGTTCCCTTAGAAGTTTTGTCCTTGCGGCATATACAGTGGTTCAGCCAGGTGTCTCCTCCTTGCTATGGTGGGGATGGCTCTGACCCTGAAAAATCTTACGCCCTGGTGTGGTTTTCATTGCTGCCTGAGGTTGTGTGGGACGATTAGCTACCAGGCACTCTTGTTGTCTGTGTGTTTGGGTGGTTCGGTTGTAGTCTGTAGTTGGCAGCTTCACCCATTGCAAGTGGGGCCTACGTTCTGTTTGTTTGCTTCTGTTCGCTCGCCCTTTTCCTTCTTGTTACGTCAGTTGGGGGTGCCTCTTGCCCGTCGTTCGGTCCGTGCCTGTTGCCGGGCCTGTGGGACTGGCTTTGGCTGGCTCTACTTACCTTTTTCCGACTCAGTTAGACTTCGGTTTGGCTGGGTTGAATGGTGTGGCTGGTGCTGGTGCCTTTGGGTATTGGTGCTGCCTCCTCTGTGGCTCCCGGCTTTGGCTGGTGGGCTCCTCTCGGCTATATGGAGTCGAGGGATGTGGCTCTGTTGGCATGGCCAAGACCAGTGGCTGCCTGATGGGGTTAGGTATAGCTGTCCTGTAGCTGTCGGATGGTTAATCTGTCTGAGGGGCTGAGGGGGCTAGATGGGCTCTGTGGCGCCTGGTGTGTGGAGCTTGGGGGGGCTGATTGTGGGGAGAGAGGTACCTGCGAGTACTAGTCAGGCATGCGTCAGGTTGGGCTATATCTCATTAAGTGTTTCCGACTTGATGGGGCTGTTGGGTGAAGCTGCTAAGTGCTGCAAAGCTCCTCGACGATCCGGATGGTTGATGGCCACCTGTGTGGATAGTGGGTTGCGACCACCTGGTTGGACTTGTTTGGGTCTTGTATGCTGGGCTTTGTGGGGTTTGTTTGGTTTCTTTGGTTTGGCAATGGGTATGGCTGGCGGGAGCAAGGCACCATGGGTAGGAGATAGGCCCCACTGGTTATTTAGGTCTGTCCGCCCCTCTATGTATTTCTTTTGTGTTTGTTTTGGGGGACAGGCAGCAGGTACAGGTCCTCCTCACCATTACGCTCTTCGGAGGCACTTGGCAAAGTGGGTTCATAGGGTCGACGGCCTAGCATGTAGATGCGAGAGGTGGACATGTTGGTCACCTCCTTTCTGCCATTGTGCTACCTGTAGTTTATATTTGTTTGGTGGGGTTTTTGTTGGTTTTCTATTGTGGTGGAGGTTTTT